GAGAACAACGATGATTCGAGAGCATGAGCCCTTGAAAGAGAATGGAAGAGAAGTAGATACAACAAAAATTAGGGGGGCTTATAAATTGATGAAAGAAGGAAAATGGACTTGTGAGGAAGAAGTTAATGTTTTGTGGAAAAAATATGGTTGATCGTATTAAGAATGTAACAAAAAATGTTTTAGGAATATCTAGAGGGAAAAGACTTTCAGATATGCAAACTTGGTGGTGGAATGATGTTGTTCAAAAGACTATTAGCAAAAAACAACCATGTTACAAAGCTTGGCAAGGGAATAAAAATGATTAAAATTTAAAAGGATATAGAAATGCAAAGAGGAGTGCTAAGAAAATAATAAGACTTAGATTAAGGCACATGATGATTTGTACAATAAATTGGGGATAAGAGAAATTGTAAAACCCGTCTTCAAATTAGCAAAAATGAAAGAGAGGAAGTGTAGGGACCTAGATCATGTCAAATGCATTAAGTGTAAGGATTAGAGGGTATTTGTGAAGGATGATGAGGTCTATGAAAGGTGGAGAATTTGTTTTGAGAAATTATTAAATGATGAGCACTCTAGGAGCTCATTGTTACAAGGAACCATTAATATAGATGATGTCAAATGTCATAGATACTTTTATAGGGTTAGGATATCCAAAGTGAAAGAAACTTTGAGAAAGATGAAGATAGTCAAGGCTTTAGGACCAGATGGAATACTGATAGAGGTTTGGAACTACATTGGAGAGATTGGCATATTCTGATTGACCAAACTATTCAGCAAGATTTTGAGAACATGGAAAATGGCAGGTGAATGGAGGAAAAGTACTGTGGTACCCATTTACAAGAACAAAATACAAAGTTGTGCAAACTATTGAGGGGTCGGATTATGAGCCACAGTATGAAATTATGGGAGAGAGTGATTGAACAACTACTAAGACATGATACGAGTATATTAGAAAGTCAGTTCGGATTTATGCTAAGGAGGTCAACCATTGAGGCTATTTTCCTACTTAGGTAATTGATTGAGAAGTTTAGGGAGAAGAGGAAAGACCTTCACATGTTCTTTATTTAGAGAGAGCATACAATAAGATACTTAGAGAGATAAGTTGGTGGGCGCTGGAAATGAAAGGAGTCACAAGAGGATATATGGAAATGGTTAGGGATATTTACAAGGGAACGCTAACTAATGTTTAGGATCACTAGTGGAAAGACAAGTGAGTTTTTTGTGACAATAGGGCTATATCAGGAGTTCTCTTTACTTTGATTACAGACTAGTTAACTAGGCATCTATAGGAGCGATATAGTTTTGATTGATGGGGCTAGACCCGACGTAAACACAAAGTTAGACCTTTCGAGGAATTCTTTGGACTCCAAAGGTATTATGATTAGCCGGACTAAGACAAAATATATGGAGTGTAAGTAGTAATTGGAATCCCAATGAGTTAAAATGATATTAAAATGATGAAGATGATGATGATTTTGTACTTTATTTCTTCGGGTTGAATATGTGAGCTATAGTAATTGGAATTCCAATGAGTTAAAATGATACTAAATTTTTCATGGACTAGAAAATAGGCACTAGATTTTATAGATGTCACGTGCTAGGGAGCAAAAAGATTGATTTGCTTCCATAGGCAACCTGACATACTCAGGGAGATTTTCTATTTGATACTTTGGGATCCATTTAGAAGCATCATTGTATGCATCTTCATTAAAGAAGATTTTGATTATAAATTTCTTAAAACATGCTGATGGATAGTTGATACTCTTTATGATCTTTATTTTAAAACATGATGATGCATCCTCTCTCTCTCTCTCTCTCTCTCTCTCACACACACACACACACACACACTACTAACTATATATACTT